GTGAATATTGTGTGTATAGTGAATAGTGTGTATATAGTGCAATAAAAGTGTGTATTGTGTACTGTGTATGTAGTGTGTAATAGTGTGTAGTGAATATTGTGTGTATATAGTGTATAACAGTGTGTATAGTGTATAACAGTGTGTATAGTGTGTAATAGGGTGTAGTGAATATTGTGTGTATATAGTGTATAACAGTGTGTATAGTGTGTACTGTGTATGTATAATGTGTAATAGTGTGTAGTGAATATTGTGTGTATATAGTGTATAACAGTGTGTATAGTGTGTTCTGTGTATGTATAGTGTGTAATAGTGTGTAGTGAATATTGTGTGTATAGTGTATAACAGTGTGTAATAGTGTGTACTGTGTACGTATAGTGTGTAATAGTGTGTAGTGAATATTGTGTGTATATAGTGTATAACAGTGTGTATAGTGTGTACTGTGTATGTATAGTGTGTAATAGTGTAGTGAATATTGTGTGTATAGCTTTTAACAGTATGTATAGTGTGTACTGTGTATGTATAGTGTGTAATAGTGTATAGTGAATATTGTGTATATAGTGTATAACAGTGTGTATAGTGTGTACTGTGTACGTATAGTGTGTAATAGTGTGTAGTGAATATTGTGTATATAGTGTATAACAGTGTGTATAGTGTGTACTGTGTACGTATAGTGTGTAATAGTGTGTAGTGAATATTGTGTATATAGTGTATAACAGTGTGTATAGTGTGTACTGTGTATGTATAGTGTGTAATAGTGTGTAGTGAATATTGTGTGTATAGTGTATACCAGTGTGTATAGTGTGTACTGTGTACGTATAGTGTGTAATAGTGTGTAGTGATATTGTGTGTATAGTGTATACAGTGTATATAGTGTGTACTGTGTACGTATAGTGTGTAATAGTGTGTAATGAATATTGTGTGTATAGTGTATACCAGTGTGTATAGTGTGTACTGTGTACGTATAGTGTGTAATAGTGTGTAATGAATATTGTGTATATAGTGTATAACAGTGTGTATAGTGTGTACTGTGTACGTATAGTGTGTAATAGTGTGTAGTGAATATTGTGTATATAGTGTATAACAGTGTGTATAGTGTGTACTGTGTACGTATAGTGTGTAATAGTGTGTAATGAATATTGTGTGTATAGTGTATACCAGTGTGTATAGTGTGTACTGTGTACGTATAGTGTGTAATAGTGTGTAGTGAATATTGTGTGTATAGTGTATACCAGTGTGTATAGTGTGTACTGTGTACGTATAGTGTACACATCCCTCTAACCTGTCACTCGGTTCCCCCTCAGCAGCTCCTGCAGAACTCATTGCGTGCGGTTCGGGTTCCTCTTTGTTCTCCGCCATTGTGTTGAGTGTAGTTGCATGGGAGACCACCGAGGCCCTCCGTGACCTCTGACCTTTCGCTGCCCCTCAGGAGTGAACGCCTGCATTAGCTGCTTAGCGCTGAAGCTCCATGTGTGGAGTCTGGAGGCCGAACAGATGGAGCACTAGATCATTCCCACAAGAACAGCTCGCTCAGAGACAGAGAGAGAGAGAGAGCGAGAGAGGGAGGGACAGAAACAGAGAGAGAGACACACACAGAGAGAGAGAGAGAGAGAGAGAGAGAGAGAGAGAGAGAGAGAGAGAGAGAGAGTGACTTCACTGCCGTTCTCACTCTATAAGAACCGATTCAGCACATTGAGAAAACTCGCATTTCACCACAGCTCAGCTTCTGCTTCTTAACCTTTACTGAATTATTAGCGAGTAATTAATAATGCATGAGTAAGTGAAACCAGATCCGTTGTAAACAGGCGTAGAAATGTGGAATAAATGTGTTATATGTTCCAGTAACCCTCTGTGGTCTGAGGTCATTCTCTCTCGATTTGTTCATCTCTTCTTAAACTCTCCCTCTAAAGGCTCTTCATATAACATGATCCTCATATGTTTCATATCTAAATGCTCCGTTATCTTCATCACTACTTTCCAAACCCGCTGCAGCAGCTTCAGCAGCTGTAAACTCTCTGCACGCCGTTTCCATGAGTCTCCGATGTGGACTGAATGAAGAATGAAGGGTTTCCGGCGTGATGGTCAGTCCTTAGTGACTTTCCTGAGTGTCCATTGGTCAGTTCCACATAGAATGTAGACGGACACACGAATCCACCAGTTCCACACGGTGAGAGGCAGATGGCGTGTATCTCAGCCCCTCTTCATAGGCTCATAACTCCGGATGTACTAACACTCAACACTGAACACGTTTAGTCACTAAAGACATTATTGTTTATCACAAGTTCACATTTTACAGCAGAACCGGTCAAACTCCAGAACCGTTCTCCAGCAGAACCCCATAAATCCGTTCAGCCAATCAGAGCACAGTATTGGGGTCAGGTGAATCAGCACAGCCGCCAACTGTTTGAGGCAGAATCTCAAACGGCTCCTTCTCCTACAGAGATCAGCAGGTCTTAAACTCACGGCTACAGATCTAAACAGAGCTCAGAGTCTCTCAGAGACCCACTCTGGACTCAGCCATGAGAGACGATTCATACTGGACACAGACCAACATTTGGGGGGAAAAGACTAAACTTCATAACTCACAGTGACTCTATAGGGAGCAGTGAGGCGTCTGAGACTCAGCCTGAGGATTTACAGAGCTCTGATCTTATAGATGATTAATATTGATCGTTAACGGCTGTTTGATCAGTTTTCAGATCTTTACCTGCTTGATTTATGGGAAAGATGATAAATACTGACCTTAAAGAAACTTGTGTCCATTAAACGGCCTTAACTCTGAAACCTAAATGACCACTGGAGCTTTCTGCTTTAGACTAAAACAATAACAGTTTTACAGTAAAGCTGATGTTGTCGGTTCCTTCATTAAAGTGCAGAGAGCTGGTTTTGCAAATGAGCTCCTCAGATGTGTTTGGGGGTTGTTAATGAAGGAATGTGAGCAGGTTAGGAATTATGAACATATTAATAAACGCTGTTTGGCCACCGTACAGTTTCAAACACAAAAGTGTAGAAACGATCTGCATTAAAAGAGGAGCTCACAAATGTTTACAAACTCCTTAAACACACTGCATAGATGCTAAAATACACGTGAAAGATCTTCATTAATGAATGACATATTAATTCTTAATTATCAGTAACTTTACTGTTAATAAACGCATTTAACAGCTTGCATAAACGCTTCATAACATGTTAATTAATGTTTATAAAGTATACAAGTTTTACATGATAATAATTTGCACTACTATGTCATTTTGTCACTGAGAGACTTTTTTTCAAAATAAAAGTCCTGAGTTTTTATTTTGAAAAAGTTAATTGTTTCCAGTAGAAAGCCTCCTTTCTGGGCAGCCAAAACAAAAACGACCTAACTTTACTCCTTTGGACACTGAGACCCCCCACCAGACTAGAATTCAGACGATTTGATTGTTCATAGCGCGTTTTTGAGTAATTTACTGTGACGTGAAATGCGAAAAGCAACAAATGCTTAAGAAAAAAACGATGATTAACAAGAACATTTACGTGAAAAGTGCCTCGGTGTCGAAGCACTCAGTGATCAAAGTGATAAAGTTGGTCCTTTTAACTTTGGCTGTAAAGAAATGAGGCATTTCACTGGAAATGATTTACTTTTTCAGAAAACGTGAGGACTTTTATTAAAAAATGCCTCTCAGTAAAATGAAACAGTAGTCAGTATTAATATCACGTAAAACGTGTGCCTTATGAATGTTGATTTGAATGTTAATAAACACGTTATTAAGTGTTTATGTAGGAGCTGGCTATGTTTAAAGATCTTTATTAGCGGATTTTAAAGAGTATAACTAAAGTAGAGCTTATTCATCATTAATAAGCTCCGCCTCACCCTTAATAAGAGCTCACGCACAGTATTTACAGGGTATGAAGTGTTGCCATCAGCTCCCCAGTGTTTTCAGCAGAATACAGTGAAACACTAACTTAGCTCAACTTCAGTGTGAATAAAAAGTGAATTTTAAATTTCTGTTAAATTTCAGGGTTTAAATTCTGAACCGTATGAATGTGACCGTGTTCAGTCCCATGTTTGGTCACTGTGTTCGCACTGCATCAACAGATTTCAGTCACTGAAAATGTTCAATTAATAACGTTTAACTCGTCAGTGAACTGAGCATTGTTAACTCATCTAACAGACACATTTATACCCAGTTTCTGAGCTTGATTAGAAATGTCTGTTCACTGTGACGTTTTCAAAGTGATTGTTAATAGTTTATAAACTGTAATGAAGCAGAATTTAAAAGTGTTTCTGCACAAATTATCCAGAACAAACACAATTTCAAATTTCAGTTCTCAAATTTCATCAGTTTGTCTTGTCCATGAATCTTTACCTCACTGACTCAGTGCATTTTGAATTTAGGTTTTATTTCCTAATAAATTTATAAAATATTCCACCTCAATTTTAGATCTGAATCGAGATTATTTAGGAAATCCTCCAGCGAATCTGGAAATCTGTAATTTCACCATTGATTCAGTTTGATTTGATTAATTTGTTCTGATTTAGAATCAGAAAAGATAAAGTTGAGAAATAAACAGAGTCAGAGCGAGACTTTACACTTTAACCCTCCACTAAAGACCATTATTCTCAATTATTATGATTACAGTTCATCTCTAATCTTTAGTCAGTGCAGTTTAATCATATCAGTACATTATTCACTCATATTTCACTTATTATTATTATTATTATTATTATTATTATTAACACTGAGAGTAATCTGCAGTAAAGTCGGCACTTTGATCATGTACATTTAAACCTTTTAAATCTGTGTTTGGTCTCCCTATCAGAGCAAACAGTAAATCAGTGATAAACAGTATTTAAGGTGGATTATTTAAGGTGGGCTGGGTGCCGAGTCCACTGTGAGAGCTCCTCGCGCGCTGAGCTGTGATCTTCCTGCTGTTAAATCTGTCTAGACCCATAAAGTTCTCACCGGAACCTTTATTACCCACCCGTATTCCGGCAGACCCCGCCCACAGCCCACAACGCGATGCCATTGGCTGGAGGAGCCGCTCCGCTGCGCTGCGATTGGCTGGTGACTTTTTTGGTATTCGTCAGAGAAGGGGAAAAATAGAAAAACAGAAAAAATAAATAAACAGAGAGAAAAAACAATAAAGAGAAAAAGAGAGAAAAGAAGAAAAAAAGAGAAGAAAAAAAGAAAGAGAAGAAAGAAAGAGAGGGAAAAAGGAAGAGAGAGAGAGAGAGGCAGAGAGAGAGAGAGAGAGAGAGAGAGAGAGAGAGAGAGAGGTAGAGGTAGAGAGAGAGAGAGAGGGGTAGAGAGAGAGAGAGGTAGAGGTAGAGAGAGAGAGAGCGGTAGAGAGAGAGAGAGGTAAAGAGAGAGGTAGAGGTAGAGGTAGAGAGAGAGGGGGAGAGAGAGAGAGAGAGATAGAGAGAGAGAGGAACTTCTGTCCAATCGCAGCGCAGGGGGGGGCGGGGTTTGCCCGAAAACGGGCGGGAAGTGAAGAGTCAGTGGGTAAATAAATAAATAATAAACAAAGCCGACGGGACTTCAATGGGCTCAGCGGGCTGTGAGAGCGCGCGGGCTGCTTTGATCTGTCTTTAAAGACCCTCGGCAGCGCGCGCTGTTGATTCAGTTGTTGCTGCTGTTGTTGTTATTGTTGTTGTTGTGAGCTCGAGCGCAGACACTCCGCAGCGCGCGGCGCCTCGGAGATGGTCGGTCACCATAGAGACGGTCTCGCGCCCGGACTTCAAAGGAGAGGGAAGCAGAAACGCGGCGCTCGAGCCTGGACTTTTTTCCCCGGGAATTTAACGGAAGTTTATCTCTGATCGGAGTTCTCCGCTTTCACTGTTTCGCCTTTGATGATGACGATGCTGCTGCTGCTTCCTCCCGGGGGTCTCGCGCTGTGGCTGCTGGTCAGCGGAGCCGCGCGCGCCGCGCTCGTGCCGCACGACGGCGTTTGTCCTAACGAGCTGAACGCCAACCTGTGGGTGGACGCGCAGAGCACGTGCGAGAGGGAGTGCGAGCGGGACCAGGTGAGTGTCTGAGCGCGCGCGCACACTCCACCCGTTCAGAGGCTGCAGAGAGACTGGCGGCCACCAGAGGGCGCCAAAACACACCGGCAGAGCAGCGACTGAGGAGGAGAGACAGCCTGAGAGATCAGAGAACAGGAGAAGCAATAAACAACACAAACAACACAAACAAAAAAACAACACAACAACACACAACAACACAAACAACACAAACACAAACAACAACACACAACAACATAAACAACACAAACAACACAAACAACACACAACACAAACAACAACACACAACAACACAAACAACACAAACAACATAAACAACACAAACAACAACACAAACAACACAAACAACACACAACATAAACAACACAAACAACACAAACAACAACACACAACAACACAACAACACACACAACTAAACAACCAACACACAAACAACAACACAAACAACACACAACACAAACAACAACACACAACAACACAAACAACAACACACAACAACATAAACAACACAAACAACACAAACAACAACACAAACAACACACAACACAAACAACAACACACAACAACACAAACAACAACACACAACAACATAAACAACACAAACAACAACACAAACAACACAAACAACACACAACATAAACAACACAAACAACACAAACAACACAAACAACAACACACAACAACACAAACAACAACACACAACAACACAAACAACACACAACAACACAAAACAACACAATATACAACAACATAAACAGTATAAACAAACACATCCAAGGTGTTTTTGTCAATATTGTCATTATTATTATTATTGTTGTTATTATTATTATTGTTATTATTATTATTGTTATTATTATTATTATTGTTATTATTTATATCAAATGTTTGCGCTTCACTGCACAGTTTAGTACGACGTGTCACAGTTTGTGAAGATGGAGGTGAAAAGGCAGATTTGAACTTCACTCAGTCTTTGTGAGACGTTCACTCAGGTTAACTCCAGTGTGGGTCTCACTTCCTTATGTGTGAACTCTAGACTGTTTCTGCTCGTCTCTGAATTATGATCATATGACCCTCAGAAGTGTGTGAAGCTGTGCGAAGCCCAAAATTACTCACAGAACTCACTTCCTGTATTTGTACTTTATTTATTGATTTATTTAGTTTCTCCCAGTTTAGTCGTCTCCAGTTCCCCCCACTAGTCCAGACTCCCCCGGTCACACGACAGCCCCCGCTCTAGGAGCGTGAAGACTAACTCAGTCCTCCTCTGAGTTCTGTGAAGCTCCACCACGTCTTTACAAACTCACTGTAAACTCACTGCACAGCTGAACGCACTCGGGGGAGAACGAAGGGCAGACGGGGGGCCATCCCGCCCACCCAGAGAGAGAGGGGACCACTGTGCTCTCTTCCCTGCAAAACATAGTATCTTCTCAAGTGACGTGATCCTAATTTGAGTGGATATGTCTAATATTTCCCATTTTGAGATAGTTGTGCACTTCTAAGATTATCTGGCGTATTTCTAGACTGGTTTCAGGTCGTTTTATTAATTTTTATTTATTTTATATTGAAATTGATCTCACTGTACTGGCAGATCATTTCAGTGAGATAATTTTACCTGATCAAACTGCATAAAACAAGTAAAAAAAACAGAAAAAGGTAGAAAAGGTAAATACTGTAAATACTCTTAAATTCATCTTACAACAATATCAACAGGAGAAACATTAGAATTGTTTACTATATTAAAGATAATTTTCCTTAGAACAAGATACCATTTGTTGCCATGGTGAACCCCTGGCCGCAGACAGCTGTATCATCACTGGGGATTGAACTTGCAACCTACTGAGGACAGAGCCAACACTTAGACGGCGCCACTCAGGAGCCCTTCATATTTGGACTCACATTCAAAAGCTGATGCACGTCTTCAATCACAAATCACAGATACGATACGTTTTGGCTTAAATCTAACTCCATATACGCTGCTGCAGGGGCACGGGGAGTGGGGGGGGGCGGTCTGAGGGGGCTGCAGCACCCCCCGATTTCAGGACTGCAACTGTTGAAAAGAATAATAACTATAAAACCTTCTGGACTTTAATCTGAGTAAAGAGCTGAGTTTGTATTATTACAGTCTATAATCTGCAGTAGCTGCTCTGTTTAAGTGAACACTGTATTTTATTACAGTGAGCTGAACACTGGCCACTCTGGGGCGTCGCTAAACACACACAGGATCAAAGAGAGAACGTCTGCAGAGTTACAGGCCAGATCTGAACTTCAAAGCAGCCTAAAAATAATCATCTTTCATAATAATGAAGCTTAATTGACCATCGTGTCTGCCACTCCTGCAGTTCAGGGTTAAATCTCAGTGAGTGACTGTGGGTGACACAATCAGCTACCACACCACTAATCGATGATCTGATTGGTCGCCACTCAGATCATTTGCATAATGTTCATCCAGAGCAGAGAGGTGATGTGAGCTGGTGGTCTGATGTGTCAGTTAAGTGGTTCGTTGTCGTGTCTCGCCTCATTATGGGGTGTATGACACGGTCTGTTTGATGTAAATTAGCAAAAAAAAAACAAAAACAAAAAAGAACTGAAAAAGACTAATCATTTTGCATGATGTCATCAGTCACGTCACATTTCAGCCCCCGAACTTAAAACACCTCCCTGCACTGCAGCCGCTTTTCTTGACAAAGAGCTTCACCTAAAAAAGGGAATAAGCTCACGTAAAACAGACTAAACCTGTAACCCAAACATGGACAACAAAGCCGCAGATGAAAGGAACCTCTCAGCATGGAAACACATGGAGCACAAGCGCGTCACACTGGCTGTTTCTGAATCGCTGTCTGTCTGTTTCTGTGTCTTTGATCATCCAGCACAGAAATATAGCATAACATCATAACGAGCTGATTTTCAGGGACCCACGAGCATTTAGATTCTCAGACATGCAGGGGGTCCAAAAGGTTAATTAGAGGGTCCCAGATCCCCCAGAACCCCCTGTGTTTCCCACCTTGCCTATCACTACATAAAAGATGCACAGGGCTTCTTTTGTTGTTGGATCACTTATTCAGAGCAGTTTGGATTCATGAGTGCTTATAACACATTAATGATTAGTTTATTCAGAGTAACAACAAAATTTACTTCTTCAAAAATATAATTTATGAGACAAAGTAAATAAAAATATTTAAACTGTTCAGTTTTGTTTGATCATGTTGTTTACATATCAAATAAAAGCAGCTCCATCATTCAGAGATCACTTTATTAAAGGAGAAGATCAGAGTGATCAGATTAGTCAGCCGTTATTGCTCCTCCTTAAAGGGTTAATATTTCCTGAGCTGCTGAATCTGCTCTGATAAGAAGTCGGTGCTGTGAGACTCGCTGAGCTGCAGCGGTTTTAGTTTTAGGTTTAGTTTCGGTCCAGGGTGTTTCCTGCCATTCACCCTGCACCCCCCCCCCGACTAATAAAGATAAGCGGCTTAGAAAATGTGTGTGTGTGTTCATGCTGTGTTTCATGTCTGTTGGTATTAAATTCATTACAGTCTTTTGAAACATGAGGCTCATTTGTTGCGGCTTTCGATGAAAAAGTGTTCTTTTAACTGTAGTTTAACTGTAGTGAAAAGTGCACTAAAGTGTCTGAGTATCACCTCAGAGCAGCTACCCAGACTTAGACATTTCAGAGTAAAACAGTTCCCTCATTCCCATCTACAGCTACATAATCTGAAACCCAGTGAATGCATTACTAGCTTGATACTAATGCAACAACTATCATGAGCTGAAAGCCAGTGGGCTGCCAGCTTTGCAGTCAGCAGCCCGACAGTGGCCCTTTATCCTCTCTCTATCTGGACAGGAGCTGCGATTTAGTAACAAGTGGCAAACTGTGACATCCTGGCTCTGTTTCCGTCTGGGGCGATTACGCTGTGTGTGACTCAGCTGTGGTTTAGAGTTTAACCCTGAATGAGTCACGTAGGTTTCAAACTCCACTGTTGTCTCCTAGAAGCTGTGGTTAAAGTCAGTGCAACTGCCATGTCATTTCCATCACACATCTGCCACTAGATGGCACTGTACCTCTGGTTAAACTGAGGTTTATCTTAAACTTGATAAAGATGCAGGAGATAAACCTGAGATACAGCACCATCTAACACAAGGTGCAAAATACAGGGGGTCCTGGGGAGCTTGGTATCCCCTAATTAACCTCTTGGACCCCTTGAATATCTCAAAGTCAAAATTCTGGAGGTCCGTTAAAATTAAGACATTATGTTGTCTGTTAGCGAATAAAATCCAGATTCAGTGAAGCTGACTGTTTACCTGCTTCCTCCACAATCAGCTTCTGTCTCTGGTGTTCTTAACTAACTAGAGCTGCAGCTCTGCTCTGCCTCAGGGTGGCGCTGCAGCAGACTGGCTCACCCAGTCGGTCCTTCATAGCCTAGAAACTGTAACTCTGCCCGGATTCCTCTGAAAAACTTTACAATGAGCTGCAGCAGATCTGTAAATCTGAAAACTTGCCCAGTTTCCCAAGAGTTTGGAGTGAAGAGTGACTGTTCCTCATTTCTCACACTGAAGACAGAAGAGGAGACGAGGAAGATCTCAGTTACTGTGAGGAAGAGCACAGAACCGCACTAGAACAGAGACTCTACAGAAGAGGAGACGAGGAAGATCTCAGTTACTGTGAGGAAGAGCGCAGAACCGCACTAGAACAGAGACTTTACAGGAGAACAACTGATAAAACAAACATTTACTGACGCTGAAGCTTCAGCGCTGCTATGGAGAGAGAGTTAGCAGACAGAGAACACGGGACCCCCGAATACCAGGGGGTTCTATTTCAGTTTAAACTGCAGTTTCTGAGGGCACAGCAGTGGAGTTTAAGAACCCACGTGACTCATTTGGGTGTAAACTCTAAACCACAGCTGAGATAAGGACAGAGCAGTTGCCCCTTAGAGCCTAACTGTAAGCGGGATTATTATCATGATTATTGTTGTTGTTATTAGTAATGTGCATTAATGTACACTAAGTTTGCGCTTCTTTAATTGCTGTGTTGGAGTCGCTGTGCTGCAGTTTGACCTTTGTCCTCTACATCTTTGAGAGAAGTCCCTGAGTTCAGTGATGAATCGACCACAGACCACACTGAGTCATACAGGAAACTGCTGCATGTTTCCACTAATTCAAACACAAATAATAAAAAAGTCAAGTCAGCTTGAAATGATAGGTTAACTTAGGTAGACTCAGAGTAGCTGAGAGGTTCCTCTGTCAGTCCTTTCTCTCACTGAGAACCGGAGACGTTACTGGGGCACTTTATACTGGCAACGGTCTGACTTTCACACCTGCAGCCAGTAAACAGTGCTTAACTGGGACACTGACGTTAAAACATGCCCTGAAAATCCCGCTAATCAGGATGTGATGACCTCAGCGTCTGAGTCATACAGAAAATAAACTTTTAACAACTTTTAATCAATCAATCAATTGATTATGTAAACTAGGAGCACATTGAGGGTAACCTTGTTTACAATGTAGCCAAGCATTAAACATACATTTATGAGTAAAAAGTGAAAGTATAGCAAATAAAATAAGACCAAAATTATTATTAAAACAGTAAATAAGACAAATAAAAAATAGTAGACTTTAAGATGAATAAGATCAACAAATCAAAACAATCAAATACAACTTTTAGGCACACTAGTAATAAAAATAAATTAACCTAAATAAACCAACTAAGTAGGATAAGCTAAAAGAGCTAAAACTGAAAACAATACAAAGACAATAGTAGCAAAGATAAAATGGTAAAAAAAAGAAAATCAAATAAATAACACCAACAAAATAAAGGGATAATAATAACAACAACAACAACAACAACAACAACGTTCTTCTCTCTAAACTGAAAACTGGACATTTCACTTTGCTGGCCATGTTTTTGTGCAGTAGCAGCCATGAAGGCATACAGTGTAGATTTTTAATGCTTCTGTTCAAAACTGTGTACAAAATTACGAAACTAAACTAAAAGTGTAACTAAACTAAAATATCTGGCTCTAATCTAAATGTATTTCCTGGTAATGAATCAGCTTCTATTCAAAGAAGTTCCTCTGGCACAGAGCAAAAAAAAGAGCAGTCAGCGCAACTTAAAATGATAAAGTAACTGATTACACTGCCTCCACTAACTTGACACGACGAAGAGAGAGACGAAGAGGCAGGATGCAAATATGAGTCCATGTTTTTACTGAAATGCATAACGCAAAAGAATCCACAAAAGTAATGAAAAAAGAAAGAACATCAAAGACCAAAAAACTTAAACAGAAAGAAAACAAAGGACTGAGGAGCATGAAGGAAACCAATAAACCACAAAACAGGGCCTGAGAAACAAAAACAGCATCCAGATTGTATCCAGATTGATTTCTGACAATCTGGACAGCAAAACTAAACTTCTGCAAATCGGATCCAAACCACATTTAGAGGTGGTTTGAAATGTGTCTCCGGTCTGATTTTTACAGATGTGTCTCAGTCTGGACCCTCAAATCAGATTTCAAAGTGTCTTTTTTGTCACTCACAACACGACAAACAGCGACGGTGTCGAATCCAGAGTGCTGAAGTGCTGGGATTCCAGAAGAGCTCCAGAGATTCATGATGATGAAGAGAGTTCTGAGGAGTTCGGAGGGGAGATGATGCTCCTCCATCTCTCCTGAATCTGTGACTAAAATCCGCATCACGAGCGCAGCTACATAGTTACTGACGCCTACGTCGTTACCACGGCAACCCATGCAGATAGACTGGAGATGTCTGGATGAACAAATCTGATCTACTCAGTCACAGATAACAGAGCGGACAGTCGACTCAAAAGATCTGATTTGACAAACTAATACAATTTGCCTGAAGTCTGAACACAGCCTAACAAACCAGGGGCAAAAATACACAGAGAACACACCAAAACACCTGGGGCTAATGAGAGGGCGGGGCTACAGACCAGAAACAGGTGAGACAGGTGGCCAGGAGGCAGGACAGGGGAAAAGATCGGAACATAAACAAAAGCACATGGATGGACACACAAGGGAAGGTAAACAAGAGGGGAGGAGCAGATAAAGACGAGCAGGACAAGACAGGAAGTTACATTTGAGGACACTCAACTCGATGCCTTAGTTCAGTCAAAAGTTCCTGTGTCTCAGTTGGTAAACAAAGCAGAATGTGTTTTCACTCAGCTTCTACTCCAGCTGGGATTCACACAATCCCATCGGACATTTTTCCCTCTTGGGCTTCCAGATGTTGGGCTGGGGGGGTATTAGAAGACACTTTTACCACTTGTGACCACCAGAAAATATCTGAATGATTGCGTTATAGAAAGAGTTCCAGCTACTGGGAAAACATTATTACTAAATTTGTTATCAACCAAACTGAGAAGCAGGACTAAAAACATTAAGAGAGGTTTTGACTCAATGAAGGAGTTTGAGTCCTCGAGTTGAGTTTAACAGAAGAAAATATTTGTAATCATTTACTTTATAACTTTGAGTTGAACTTTTCTTTTTAACAGTGTCATTTAAACCGTGTTGTGCTGGGTCTCCAGCTGGTGATTTTCCAGATCATCTTCACCAGGATTTTCACTCCAGCTTGCATTCATGCTAAACCCCTTCCTGTTTAATTACCATTAAATTCCCTGGTAAAATTCCCAACTGAATTGGGGAGAAACTGAGTAACAGTCCAACAGAATATAAGCAAAAAGCATGTCTGCATTTTGTAGTTAAAAGTTATAATAACTTTTGACTAAACTGAACTAAAGCTATGCAGAAGGATGACTGCAAAGTTGACCTGGCTTTTAATTGTTTATTGTGTTGATACACAGTGTGTCACAGTTCCTGAGAGCACTAAAGTGACTGTTTATGTGCTGTTTGTGTTACAGGACTGTGCTGATTTTGAGAAATGCTGCACAAACGTGTGTGGCCTGCTAAGCTGTGTTGCAGCTCGTTTCTCCGATGGCTCCCCTGCGCTCCCCGATGGCCAATCGGGCACCAACATGTCGGAGGGAAGTGTGGCAAGCTGCGTGGGTTACCTGTGCAACCAGCAGGGGGCAGTGTGCGAGGTGTGGGAGGGGCAGCCGGTATGTAAGTGTCAGGATCGCTGCGAGAGTGAACCCAGCTTCACCTGTGCTTCCGATGGCCTCACCTACTTCAACCGCTGCTACATGGATGCCGAGGCTTGCATTCAAGGTGTGACCCTGACCGTAGTCACCTGCAGGTATCACCTTTCTGCCCCGGCCACCAGCCCTCTGACCCTGGGGACCACCTCCCAGGCCACTCCCACTTCCTCTGCACCATTCCCTCCTACCCTGTACTCCAACCCCCAGCACCAGGCCGTGTACCTGGGTGGCACCGTTAGCTTCCACTGTGATGTTATTGGGCATCCTAAGCCGGATGTCACCTGGGAGAAGCAGTCGGAACGGCGGGAACACCTGGTGATGCGTCCAGACCAGATGTACGGCAACGTTGTGATCACAAACATTGGCCAGCTGGTGGTCTACAATGCCCAGGTATCGGACACGGGCATCTATACATGCATTGCCCGCAATTCCGTTGGTGTCTTACGTGCGGATTACCCGCTTTCCGTAATCATCCGTGCAGAACATGACTTCTATGAAGACCTCGAAGCAGGTATGGAATCTCTGGGGCGTCCATTCTCACCTGCTGACTGCTTGGCAGAAGTAGAACGTGGTGAATGTGGTGAAACCCGTGTTGACTGGCACTATGATACCTCGCTGGGATCTTGCCGGCCCTTTGCCCACGGCGGATGCCCGGGAGGGCGGAACAGGTTCGAGACGTACGAGGAGTGCCAGACAGCTTGTCAGCGGGAAGGATTGGGAACGTGCACCCTGCCAGCCGTCCAGGGACCGTGCAGGAACTGGGAAGCCCGCTGGGCATACAATGGTATCAGCAAGCAGTGCCAGGCCTTCGTCTATGGCGGATGCCAAGGAAACAGCAACAACTTCCGCTCCCGGGTAGAGTGTGAAGCAAAATGCCCTCAGCCTAAGGCACGGCAGTGCCGAAGCTGCCGGCCGAAGGGCAGGTTGGTGCCCAGCCTGTGTCGCAGCGACTTTGCCATCGTTGGACGACTGACAGAGCTGATTGAGGAGCTAGACTCAGGTATCGCACGCTTCAGCCTGGAGCAGGTCCTGCGGGACCAGAAGATGGGCCTGGAGCTGTTCAAGGCTCGACACCTAGAGGTGACGCTGACTCACATGGACTGGAGCTGTCCGTGCCCCAATGTAACGCTGCAGGAAGAGGGCCCCCTGCTAGTGATGGGTGAAGTGCAGGATGGAATGGCTGTGATCCTTCCTCATAGCTACATCCGGCCTGTAACGGACCGCAGGGTCAGGAAGATCCAGGAGGTCCTGGCCAAAAAGACCTGCGAGATGCTGCAGAGGTTCCAGGACTGACCCTTTTTTCTCACCAGCAGGTGTTCATGCAGGAGCTGTGCTTAAACTCAAACTGCTCCATGTGTTCCCAGATTCTGGATGAGCCATTCTAGTACCTTAAACTTGCTGGTCTAGAACCAAGAAGTTATGGAGCAGGGTGATGACATCATCAGGTCAAACTGTTTACAGGAGAAAACCAGATTTTTTCAAAACAAGATGCAAAAAAAAAGAAACGCTAGTTTGAATGTTTTTTTGGAAAAATTACCAAAAACAACAATAAGCCATGAACTGCACTGCAAAAAACAGTCTCTCGTCAAGTGGAATTATCTTAAATCTAGTTGATATGTCTAATATTTCTTCTGTTGAGATTGTTGTAAACTTATTTAAAAAATATTTAACTTATTTCCAAACATTTATATGTTATATTTACTTGTTTTAAGTAATTTTGTTAAGTAAAATTATCTCACTGCAGTGGCAGATAATTTTGTTTGTTTTAAGAAAAGTGCTTGAAACCAGCAAAATTATCTGCCAGTATAGGGAGATAATTTTACTTGATAAAATGACTTAAAACGGGTAAAAAATGTCTAGAAATAAGCAAAATAATCTCATAATATTGCACAACCATCCCTAAATAAGAAATATTAGATATATATCGACTAGAGTTAAGATAATTTCATTTGACGAGAGACAGTTTTTTGCAGTGTATTAATGCATCAATCAGTGAAACATTTTATGTGGACGTTTAACGGTTTGGTGCAAAGCGTTGTTTGTTAACCATTAAAGAAAGTTGATCTCAGCATGATTTCATTTGGACCAAGCTAACTGGCCACATTAACTTCCATTACTTGTTAGCATGTAGCATGTTAGCTTGTGTTTGTTGACTTCCTTTTCTGAGCTAAGGTACGCCCACAATCTTTTCTGTTATTGTTGGGTTCTCGAGCTTGTGGTTCTTTAAAAGGCTCCCAGGAACCAGTGGCCCCTGCATAAAGTGTTTTGTTAACATTTTTAAATGATCTATAAATAAGAACTTAATCATTATCTGGTAGTTTGTTAATGATAGTTAATAGCTGTATAATTGTTTTGTGCATTAATAAGTGCTACTATTTAAATTATTTACCATTTCCTGAGTGACATACAAATAATTAAAGCATGAACATTATATTTCAGTGCAATAAGTAATACAATCCTTATAATAGGGATCCGTTTAATGATTATTAATATTTAAAAAACTGCATTAATTGAATTAACTAATCAATAAGGAAATGTTGATGCATTACAAAGTAATAAAATACCCACATATATGACATTAATTATCATTAGGGAGTATTTTTATCCAGAGAAGTAAATTCTTAATATTTCAATTTATATCATTTGAGTATCAAAGAACATAATTAGCTATGATTAATGATTCGGTTTCTGCAATTCAGAATGATTATTGATTTGTATGTCACTAAAGAAATGGTTATTAATTCAGACGGTATCAGTTATTAATGCACATCTCCAGTTGTTTTTCTTTTTCATTTTTTAGTATGTATACTGTAAACACCTGCTCTCTGTTTACACTGTGAAAGGTTTATGATGAACAGACCAATAGAAATTATGCAAAACCACTTGAAGTTAAGAATGTTTTAGTCCGACAGCGACGATGTTCGGCTGTTATGTAACCGAAGATGTTTATTCCAAAATGCTGTAAATCTGTAACAGTTTTGGCTTTAAGGTGTTTTCAGAATAACAGTTGATGTTTAATGTTTATCTCATTTTAAGCTCTATAATAAAGGTTGTGTTAATCATACAGTGTGAAAATGCTCATTTGACTCTAGAAAACACTTTGAGTGAAACAAATCTTTTGGTTTACATGAACAAACACAATAATTTACATAGATTCAAACTTCAAAAACTCTTCAAATCAACTTTTGCCTGGTTTCACTTCTCACAGTGTAATATAGCACTGATATATTGTGTGAGTGTGTAAAGCTCCCGACAGTCTATAATGCATTTTGGATCAGAACCCTTCAGTTATTAATGGTCATTAACAGACTATTAGAAAGTGACTAAGCTGCCTGTTATTATACAGAGTTGCTGATATCTAAAGTGAAATTTTTTTTGGTCTTAGCTTTTCACTCTTTATCGTAAGTGAGCTGCATGGAGTCTCTTTCAGGGCCACACTTAAGTGAGAAGTAGAGAAACTGAGTTGCAATGTACATTTACAGCTGAAGTTTAAAGACTAGCGCACCCACTTCTGACGACACTTCTTTTAAAAGTGATTTTGAACTGAAGGTTAATTACACGGTGTAAATATTATTAGACCTCGTTCTCCAACATCTTCTTAAGTTTGTTCTTAAGTGTGTTCTTGTCAGATTCATGATGTGTTCTTAAAGCGCAGAACTGTTCTCACCTTTGTGCTCTTGAGTGTGTAGATTCTGTTCTTACCTAAGAACAAATCCCACATAAGAGAACATTGGTGAGTCAGAATCTCTGTCAAAACTGCGTAAGTGGGTTTAAGGAGAAATTTCTTAAACTCTTCTTATGAAATTTCTACTTAAGTCCAGGTGGATGTTGGAGAGGGCCTAGATTAGTCCAGGTGGATGCTGGAGATGGTCTAGATTAGTCCGGGTGGATGTTGAAGAGGATCTAGACTAGTTCAGGTGGATGTTGGAGAGGGTCTAGATTAGCCCCGGTAGATGTTGGAGAGGGTCTGGATTAGTTCAGCTGGATGTTGGAGAGGGTCTGGATTAGTCCAGGTGGATGTTGGAGAGGGTCTAGATTAGTCCAGGTGGATGTTGGAGAGGGTCTAGATTAGTCCAGGTGAATGTTGGAGAGGGTCTGGATTAGGGCAGGTGGATGTTGGAGAGGGTCTAGATTAGTCCAGGTGGATGTTGGAGAGGGTCTAGATTAGTCCAGGTGAATGTTGGAGAGGGTCTAGATTAGTCCGGGTGGATGTTGAAGAGGATCTAGACTAGTTCAGGTGGATGTTGGAGAGGGCCTAGATTAATTCAGGTGGATGTTGGAGAGGGCCTAGATTAATTCAGGTGGATGTTGGATATGGTCTAGATTAGTCCAGATAATTGTTGGATATGGTCTAGATTAGTCCAGATGGATGCTGGAGAGGGCTGGAGAGGGTATTTGAGTAGTTCAGTATTTGAGTATTTGAGTAGTTTAGTTGGAGGTTGGATATGGTCTAGATTAGAGCAGGTGGATGTTGAAGAGGGTCTAGATTAGTCCCGGTAGATGTTGGAGAGGGTCTGGATTAGTTCAGATGGATGATGGAGAGGGTCTGGATTAGGGCAGGTGGATGTTGGAGAGGGTCTAGATTAGTCCAGTTGGATGTTGGAGAGGGAATAGATTAGTCCAGGTGGATGTTGGAGAGGGTCTAGATTAGTCCAGATGGATGGTAGAAAAGGTCTAGATTAGTCCATTTGCGTGATGAAGAGGGCCTAGATTAGTCCAGGTGAATGTTGGATATGGTCTAGATTAGTTCAGGTAGATGTTGGATATGGTCTAGATTAGTCCAGGTGAATGTTGGATATGGTCTAGGTTAGTGCAGGTGGATGTTGGAGAGGTTCTAGATTAGTCCGGGTGGATGTTGGATATGGTCTAGATTAGTCCAGATAATTGTTGGATATGGTCTAGATTAGCGCAGGTGGATGTTGGAGAGGTTCTAGATTAGTCCGGGTGGATGTTGAAGAGGATCTAGACTAGTTCAGGTGGATGTTGGAGAGGGCCTAGATTAATTCAGGTGGATGTTGGATATGGTCTAGATTAGTCCAGATGGATGCTGGAGAGGGCTGGCGAGGGTATTTGAGTAGTTCAGTATTTGAGTATTTGAGTAGTTTAGTATTGGAGTATTTCAGCATTTGACCATTTCAGTATTTCAGTATTTGTTGTTTACATAACAAAGATAGCGGCTGAAAGTGCAGCTTCAGGCTGTATCAGATGAATATTAGGGTGTTTGTTGCGAGCGGTCACAGGAGATGAGCTCGATGGCCTGTGGGTGGAAACAGGATGGGTTATTCTGAGAGAGGCCGTGTTAAACACATTACCATCTACACCATCTCAGTTCTCGTCTCTGTGGGTTGTTATTGTAGAGACAACCTTTACGTCTCCTCTGAGAGGGTTTTGGGTGAAGAAGTGAGAGACACGCCTTCACCTTCTGAATAGATCAGATCACTCAGGTTCCTCTGTGCTTCTCGGGAGGCCCGTTTTAGTCCAGAGAACCTGAAATTAGACTCTAATCACTGCAGTTATTCGGAGATGATCTAGGTCATGGTTATTATGTAGAACATGTTAAACATTTCAGTGTTATCTAGTTAGACTGTCTCAGTACTCATCATCAAATCACTCAAAAATAATGACCTAGTCCTTTGAAGATTGGACCTCACACAGTTAATAGCTAGAACATGGTGGACTGTGAAAGGCGGAGTTGCAGTGTAATCTGTCTTACTGTTAGAAGTTCTTCAGAATGTGAGTGTTTTAAGCAGACTTACTCTCTTTACTGGTTTAGGGAAATGCTGTCTCAGTGTAAAGAACAGCTGGTGTTCTTTTTAAATGAAACACTAGCTGTGTCATTGTGCCCCAAGTTCACAGGGGATAGAACCTTTATACACAGTACAGTGTAAATATGTAGAAAATTATACATTAAAAAGAAACAGTAACAGATTAAAATGATGTTTATCTGGTCAGTAAGTGAAAAAACCATGTATACTACAGCTAATGTAAATAACACTGAGATTAACTGGGGTTTGGTTAGAGCTTTAGCAGCTATGTGATATGTGGTCAACTGTCCTAGACAGTGGTGAACCATGATTCAATTTAGAACATAAATTTCAGAACAGTAATGCTAATTCCTGCTAGTGCTCCTATGGGATATCTAATAGTATGCAGGGGTGGATAGGCCAGCTGGACATTCTGGAAAGGTCCAGAACAGTCGTTGGACATTAGCCTGGCTCCGTGGTTCATTGACTGTTAGAGTAATAAAGGCTGTTGCGCACCAAACGTGATTTATTCAGATGGCAAAAACGCAT